GAAACTGAAGTGCCAGCTGGCAGGTTAATGCATTTTGCCAAACTGATTTAGCACCCACCAGTCCACTACTGAACTTATTTGAAAGAAACTGCTTGTTCTTAGCTATTGGATCTTCCATCCCAGATTATATTGGACTCAACTCAATTACTTATTCCGATTATAAACTTTCTGGGGAGTAAGGAACTGTGCCTGAGAGCATGCTCTAGTGGCCAGACCTCTCCCTGCTGGTCAGGAGCTTTGGGCACTATTTCTGACTACAGGATTTTTAGCATGCTGCTTTTTGGATTCCACCATCATGTGTGTCACCTTTTGGGTAGGAACTACAGGTACCACCCCACTTTTGTGCTTCTCAGACAAGCTCTAATACAGACTTCAGTTTGTACACACTCTAAGGAGAAGGCTTTGGACAAGTTGTCCTGTGTACCAAGAGAGATGACTTCCACCTGCACGACCCTGAAGGTTGGCCTATATTTGCCTAATGCATCCTATTAGCCCTTAAGATTTCATAATGTATGCTGTTCTGAGCAAATGAATCAGCTCTGGACTCCTACAAGAGCAGATGGGTTGCAAGCAACCAGACTCTAACCCTCCTTCCTCGAGTGACCACATGGCATTTAGCTGCAGCTGTCCTGCATCTGACAAGCCTGGTCAGGAACCTGTCAGGCTTTAACCTGCATCTTCAGACAATGCTGACACAACCACTCTGGACAGAAGTACAGTACACTGTCACTATATTAAATTTGTTCAGAATTATGCTGTACTGATGGTCAATCTATTGTGCCCTGAACAATTTAGTTAGAGAAATGCTTCTTTAAAAAGAATGAATAATTTTAACAGTCAATCCTCCCCTGCCTTTTTTACACTAAGAATTTTATCCAGAGGTAAAAACCATGAAAATCCTGACAACCTGGCCATAGCTAATCAAATTTAAACTTCATATTTTTTACAGGGAAGGGAAAAAAACATAAGTGACAAGTACAGTAGTTAGGATAAAAACTTAGTATACACATTTTGACCATGCTGACCCTGATTCAGCAGGTTACTAGACAGGACTGAAGAGAGGAGTGTAAAAAAAGTGATCTTCACAACAGAGTAACCAGAGCTTCTCATTCTCAGTGGGAAGGTCTACAGCTTTTATCAACATCACCTATTCTAACACTGGTTGTCTGAAAGTAAACAGGTCCATTAGCCATGTATCAGTGTTTGCAGTTCTGATCTCTTGGTGCTATTCTATATTCTATAACTATTCTAAAATTGGTTTTGCTATATCACTAGTCAAAAAAAACAAAGCTAATGAAGATGCTGGATAAAGAAGCACATTTCATGAATGATACTAACCTCAGGTAATCTGCATCATCTAAATAGACTTATAAAATGTTCTCCTTTTTTACAAGACACCCAGTTTTGGGTATCGATATTTTCACTTAGCTACGATATCACCTTTTACTTAGAATAGCATCTTTCATCCCAAAATGCGGTCACTCCACCTACCTGTAGGATGAAGGCAACTATACACAGTGATAAGAGAAACTATGCAAAGCCACATGAAACACTATGAGAAGAAACTCAACAGAACAGCAGGGAAAACAAAAATTTGGAAGGATCATATTATCTAGATTAGTATCTGGCCAGTAAATTGGGGTTAGCATTCCATTCTCACACATGGACAGAAAAGGACCCTGCTTTTAAATCTCAGTGAACAGATGGTGAAACCCCAATTCCTGCTACTTTCATGCTGGGAGAGTAACTCAGTACTGCATCAGCCAGGAGACCGACACCTACAGAGCTGCGAGAACACTCCGCATAGAAACTGGCCTCCCTTGGAAGTCTCCTAACCAGGACCCCTGCCATATTATGTAGAGAATATCACACGTTCAAATTTGAGGTGGCTTTGGAAATTGCAGGCAGAAGCTGACACAGTGTGTCTTGATTAGTCTAATGCAAGATAATGTGTGCATTTTTATGCCTTTATACTTAATTGCAATTGCATTTTAGTGGCCTCCATGATAAGGACAGGTTATGTTTGGTGTCATTATTACCAGCCTAACTACCCAGAGAAAGCCGTAACAAAGTTATGTTGCAGAAGATATTACTGAGTATCCCACCAAATGCTACCAAAAAAGAAAAAAATAAGTCATTTCATTCAGGACTAATGTCATCAGTACACAGATCCCTCGAATTTGCAGTGGTTTGCATCAGCTTCAAAACAGCAATACAGAGAAGTGCACAGAAGCAGAAATCAAACCGGTGAAACAGACAAACCAAGATCTTTCCCTCTGAGAACAGATACAAGCAAACATGTAAACACCAGCAATGTAATGCTGAAAAAAAAGTAGCTTTACACTTCTCTGAAAAGAATTAGATACAATGGATTTTGAATACGTCAGAAAATAGGTATACAGGCTTACAGAGACTACGACGGGCTTTAAGGCTTTCACATCTCTTTTCTTCAAGACCAGTCCTGAAGGCTCTGTGGTCTCTTCCATGTAGTAGCTTTTGTAGTGACTAGCAGAGCAGCACAAACTTACCTTTGTTGAAATCTCACTGAAATAAAGAAGAAATAAGCCTGCAAACAAATTTTGAGGAAAAGAATAACTTGGTTTTAAACTGTGCAATTTTTTTTTTAAAGGAAATTTTTCGGAAATACGATATTCAAACAAAAGTGGCAAAAATCCAAAGAATAAAGATCATGCTGTCGCCGTGCTTCATTTTGTTAAGCAAGTGAAACATTAGAGCCCTCAAATCTTCATCTACTTCATATTTCAGTCTTAGAAAGTGTTACATCAGCATAGTCGCCAGGTAAAGCTGCTAGTTTATTCTAAATGGACTTTCTTCAGACACTGGCACAGATGATGAGTGATTGTCCAATTCTGAAGCTATCAGAACTGAACGGATTTAGCAATGTCATAAACACCTCTCGAGGGAGTCACCTGGTGTTGAGAACTCACTTTACATGCCGCGTTTCAAAATGAGTTTTAATGGATTTACATTAGATTCAAACCCACTTTAGAGCTATTATTTCTCCCTTTCAACCTTTTCACCCACTGCTGCAATGTAATACAGCATATTCTATAATCACATGTTTGCAGGCCCGTGGTAAAGTAAACAAAACTTCAAAGGGTTATTATTTAAAGACTCTGTATTACAGCCGTAGGCCTGACTGTTGTTCTTCCTCACCACCCCTTGGGCCCAAAGTACATAATCATCCAGTAATTGAACTGAAGTGTCTAAATGGCTAGATCCCCTGAAGGACATAGGTAGTTAGCAGCGAAGAAAGTAAGGGACATTTAAAAAAAACCTCATGGCACTTTCCTGCACTACTTAGAAATACTGCGTGACTGACCTGGACGTGCTAGGCTCTCGCAGAAAACAGAACAACGCAGAGATCTTTCTGGGGTTGTAACTAAACCAAAGATTAAATGTAGAACTGTGCTGCATTTGGAAGCAAAGATCTTACATTTAAATTACTTTCAGAAGAATTGAGGAGAAGGAACAGAAATACACATACGTACACAGATGTATACGTAACAGAATAGTACCACTAATACCATGTGAAAGCAAACCCCTCTAGGTCCTCATATTTAATAGCCCCTCCAAAAAGTGTAATGGATAGCAGATCCCAGGCTTTCATACGCTGTAACTGTCAAAGCACTCAGGAGATAGAGTAGTGAAGGCTCTGACAGCTCTCTTTTACATTCTAAATGACATCTGCATTCAACAGAACAGAAATAAAGATTAAGGGAAACACCTGATATGATAGCACTCAGCTTACCTCAAAATGCAATATTTAAAAAGTACAGAGAAACACAGGTCTGCCTTCTTGTACTGTAAGTAAAAACTGGTGTCAAAGCCTCAGAGGTCTTCACCGCTGCCAGAAAGGCAAGTACTGCCGCATTCAACAGACTACAGGGGCAGAAGCCACAGCCTCTGACTATGTGACTGTTGAAATCAAAAGGTGTTTTGCCTAAGGGAGGGAGGAGACGGTCTTTGAATGCACACAGAAAATGACTATGGGCACCATCATGCATCACAGGAAAATTAACTTGGCCGAAACCTTTGCAGCCCTTCTTGTACTTCAGTGACGAGCAGAATGCCCGTCGCTAACTGATGGCGCCCCACTGATTCTGTACCTGTCGCAGTACGTACCTACTGCAAATCTCTTTTAAGAGGTTATTAGTATTACGGCTTCGAATGAAACACGTCAGCATACAGACCATGAGAGATGATTTCGAATAGATTCTTGCTGGTTGATTATATAAACGATGCCTCTTATTGCTCGAATAACACCTCAAAGGCAATATAATGACGACATGACAATGTATGTAAATCAAGAACTGCATGTGGGTTTATTTTACACTTGAGAAAACAGTGGATTTAATTGTGTGAACCAAAATGTACTGTACAATATTAATGATAAAACATCAAAATGTATAATTCATAGTGCATTGCTTGCTTTATTTTTATTTATTTATTTTTTTGTCAGATAGTTCCTTTAAGTACATGCATCTGGAAAGATGCAGGTGCCAGTAAAATTTCTCTATTTATATCAAGCTGCAGGAACTAAATTTTATTCAAAAAGTGTGGTTTTACATTATATACACAGAAATTGAATATAAAATGACAATATAAAAAGTTAAAAGAGAAAGCATACAGCCAGAAGGTACAAAGAAAGTTGAACAGTTTAAAATGGTAGGATATGTAACATGTATTTTTTTAAGCTGATGCTGGCAATTTACAAGGAACAGAATCCAACATTTGCCCCATTTTTTTTGTTTTCATTTACCAATGCAGCACACTATAGAAAGGTCAGCTTGTACCAAAGCTTAACATTTGTAAATAACTATAAACGGCAGTATTTTACAGGAAAAAAAAAAAAAAGGAAAAAAAAAAGAAAGGAAAGAAAAGAGCATTTTTACACTTGTTTTAAATAACAGCTTGCATACTTTTTTTTTTTTTTTTTTTGCCAAAAAGTGGCAATTCTCAGCATCCAGAGGGTTTGGGCATAGTGGCAACTTGGTTTGCTTTTGTTTTTTAATTATTATTTAACTTATACAGTTGTGGCTTCCTAACCCCTTGAGTACTACACAGCTCTCCTTCTTCCAAGGACTGCATGCACAATTTCTTCACAAACCAGTTCTACATTAAAAAAAAAAAAAAGAAGCTCATTCATTTAAAAAAAATAAGTTCTGCTTCTGACACAGCTTTTATTTGAATGAAATGCCTTTAAGCCTTTTGTTTTGTTTTGTTTTTCCTTATTTACTTATTTAGTCACTGGGAAAGGCACAGAAATGCTATTACAGTTCTCAGAGGGTTAAAACTTGACACTACCAGGTTCTGTGACCTTTATTGTCATGGCAACTTTGTAATTTTAGGATGTCTCTTTATCATTGTTCTTTGTGTCTTTCTTTACGGCTAAATTAATGTCTCTCAATAGTGTCTCCCACTATATTCTACAAAAGATAGCTTAACATCAAGGACAGATGTTGAAAATAAAGGTCAGACTTTGACTCACAAAAAATAAAAACAGAAACAAAAAATAACCATGCACAGATCAGACAAAGAGCATATAAATATAACTACAAAATAAGTGTAAGAAAAACCAAGGTCCAGATAGGCAGTTCAGCAACAAAAGTAAGACTGATTTCAGAGGCTCAGGTCAGGCCTAGTGCAGTACTATGAAGAAGTTTAGTGCAATGTTCCTGTGGTCACTTGCATACCTGGCTGCTTACCTGGACGCTATTGTTTTTCTAACTCAGTTACATAGATCAGATGGTCCTCTGGGGACTTGCCATGTGTTTTACTAAGGTGCAGTTTGACTGCATGCTTGCTTGCAAAAGTTCGGTTACAGAGCTTACACTGGAATGTGGAGCCTAAGTCCTCCTCGGCAATTCCAAGTGAGCCCAAAGTCTTGTTTGCGAGGACTTTTGAAACATTCTGCTGTTCTTGAATCTGATTAAGTGGCAACTTTGACAGATCCTTCAAACTAAACCCTAGGTGTGTCTCTAAGTGACTTATGTATGTAGAAGCAGTCCTGAACTGAGAGGCACAATCATTGCAAAAGAAAACAGGATGCCCTGTGTCCAAGTTCTTTAAAAATTTAGTTCCACCTGTCCTCCTTAACTGATACTTCACATTGGCCAGCCAGTGGCTAATTGTGGTCATGGAAAGACCAGTAAACTTAGAGATGTGTACCCGCTCTTGTGGACCTAAGTCTGACATAATGTATTTGCCTTCTGGGGTCTCCCTCAAGCTGGAAGCAAACTGGGCTTGAAGGATTAGAAGATGCTGAGGGTTCCAGTTGGACTGTCTGCCCTTCCTCTTGTGTACTGGCGACAGTTCATCCAGAGCTTCCTCAAAACTGCTCCCGTCAGCATCAGACTTCTCTGACACGGTAGACGGAGTTGAAGACTTGGGTGTCAAACGCCCTGTGAGGTTCTTCACCATATCGGAAATATCCAGCAGGGCACTCTCCCTTAGCGGGGACGAGGCAGAGTCAGCCACGCTGGAAACAAGGGGTTTGGTTTTGGACTTCGTTAAATCAATAGGTTGATCACTGTTCTCATAGTAATACCGGTCAATAGCATCTGCCTGCTTGACCGGAGTGGTTGGATAAATGGGTTTGTCCAACATGCTGTTGCTAATTTTGTATAGCATGGCCAAAGGGTCCAGAGAGGGGCTTACCGGCTTTGAAATTTTGCCTAAGTGGGTATTCATAATGGACTGTAAAGCGCTCAATGGATTAATGAAGGATGGCTCAGGTGAATGATCTGTGATGATTCCTAAATTGTTACAGCCGTTTGCAACCTTTGTTTTAAGTGGCTCTGTACCATTTGGCGTATGTGCTTCTGCTGGACTGTCCTTTTTCACCTTCTGAACTTCTGCCTCAGAGCTCTTCTGCTGCTGCTGTTTGTTATTCATTTCTTCTGCTTTCGGGAAGTCCTTGTTTTCTTTAGCAGCAGGTGACACTGGTTTGACTGGAGAACTCTTCTCTTTCTCCAAAGGCTTTTCTTCCTTCTTCACGCTGATTTTACCTGTAACTTTCTCCACCAGTTCTTCCATAGCAGATACATTGCTCTTGTGAGGTGGGGGTGTGAGATTGCCCGGGGAATGGATGAGTGCATTGTGTTCTGACGACAGTGATTTTACGCTGCTGGCGTAAGACGGCTGCATTTGAACGCTCTGCACTGCCGGCTGAAGGGGTTTGACTGTTCCTGGGAGCTGGTAAGCTGCGTGAATACTGGGATATCCTCCCCAGGACGGGGCTCCATTCTGAGCTTTGCTGATAGCCGTTGTCACCGTGTTCTCCAGGGATTTCAGTATGTCTATTCCGCCTTTAGGACTATCATCTAGGTCCTCCTCTCTGAGGTACTGATACAAAGTTGTTGGCTCAAATTTCTCTGTGGAGTCCTCATTCTCTTCTTTAATCTTTTTCTCTGTTTCACTGACCACCACCTTTTCCTTCTCTAGGTCTTTCTTTTCCTCCGAGTTTGTGGAGCCCGCTGGGGAATCGGGCTGCTTTTTAATATTGGAGGCTGGTAACCTTGTGTGGGTGGTGGGTGGAAGAGGTATAGACTGTATCTTCTCCTCCACCACAGGGTCCAATACTAGCTGTTTGCCTTTTTTGGAAGCAGAGTTGGTCACCTTCAAGAAATGACCAGTGACCATCATGTGAGCAGTGAGCTGCTGCAAAGTGTCATGGGAACTGCCGCATTCCATGCATTTCAATATTTGGGCTTTGCGTGCCTCAAACTGCCAAGTGTAGCTAGCACCATTTTGATAGCCATAGCGGTTGTTTGGAGTCACATAGGGGTTGGCAGTTTTCTGATCCTTCGCAGACTCACCCAGTGAAGCTTCTGCAGTGATCCCTGTTGGCTCAGGTGAACAAGGTGAAGCTAAGTCCTGAAGTGCTCGCTTTTTGGTAGAAGGGACCAATTTAGTGATGGCTGGTACTGGCTCCTTCAGAGGCACTTTCTGGTAATGCTTTGTTTTTATCATATGGACACTGAGGTCTTGCAAAGACTCAAACGAATGCCCACAGTACATGCACTTCAGCACTTTCTGGGCATCCTCTTTGCCTTCCATTTCCATGAGTGACCGCTTTCTAGGCTTTGACCACCGTTTGGTCTTATCAGCTTCTTTATCTCTGTTGTCATCACGGTAATGTCCAGTTTCATTCATGTGCACTGTTAGCTCCACCAGTGTGTCATAAGCTGCACTGCAGTCTTTGCATCGGAACTTGCTAGCACCGGTGAACACAGACCCATACAGTTTATTGTTTTGCCGGTAAAGCTGTACTGTGCTGAAAAGACTAGGCTCTGGGAGAAGTCCGTACGATGAGGTCTGCTGCAAAGTTTTAGCTAAAGCAGCTTGGTGCCAGTCATAACCGGAGCCACCACTGTTGCTATTACTGTTGCTAGTATTACTGGTAGTTGTACTGGTACTAGTGTTGGTACTGGTAGTACTAGTACTCTGGGAATTGACATTGGTGTCAGTATTGGCGGTGTTTTCATTCTGGTTGATTCCGTTGTTGCTGGTGGTTGGATTGGATTTCTTTAAGTCCAAAGCTAAACTGGACCAGCAAGTCTCTGAAAGCAAATTTGCATACACAGCTTTTATTTGTGCCAAGCTGTCCTGTGGATAGGAAACATTGTCTGTGCACTGAGGATCCTCTTTCTCTTCTTTAGAGGAAGTGCTTTTGAAATGGCCCAGCTGATCGCTGTTTTCACTAAACGGCGAACCATAGCCTGCATCCTGATTAGTTGCAGTGCTGACTGGGGAGTTCTGGTAGCTTTGAGCCTCTTTGATCTCCGCTTCTTCATTGCACAAGTACTCATTCTCCTGGATGTCCAGAGACAGCCCATCATCTTCCACGCTGTCTTCATCTATTTCTGCTGCTTTCAATTCCTCCTCAGGAACATATGCTAAAATAAAGGAGGGGAGAGGAGGGGGTAAAACAAGACAAAGTTATCAAACACGCACATTTTACATCGTTGCTGTCTTCTGTACTAAAAGCAGTAACCATAAAGACAAATTTTGAAGATACATCCAGAAACCAAACTCGCCATCACTCACACACCCCACCTATAAATCCACATACTCTGTCCTGGTTACAGTTTGATACCAGTGCTATCTAAGAATAAACTTTGACTTCAGCAGTAAAATATGTGCCAGGACCACAGTAGATACCATAATATCAAAACCAAAATCAAACAAAGAGCCTACTAAACCAGTTTTTATCAACTTAAAAAATGGCCTGGCACTGAGCTATATCTACTGCACTACGTATGCGCAACACATTGCAGCTGACCTGCACCCTTCAGACCTAGGCACTGAGAACCACTGGCTTGGCCAACTCCCATCTCGTCAGGGCTGTCTTTTCTGGCAAACTGGCTTTACCTACGCCTTCAGGGGCCATTTCTGTGTCACTGACACCTGACTCTAATGGAGCTATAGGGGGCAAGCTTGTCAGGTTAGCTGTTCCAGGGTCTCCTGGTGGCTGGCTGTACTGGGTCCGTTTGAGAGCAGAACGGCTTTCATTTTTACAAGGTGAAAAGAGAAGCAAGATTATGATTGTTTTCTGAAATGGCTAGGATATACTTTGCCTCGTGTTAGGATCTGATGTGGGTCCTGCATTTACCATTTTGAAACCAGCAGTCAGCAACTAAAAGTAAATGTTAGAGATTAATTTTTAAAAGCAACAAACAAAAAACTTGAGACCTCCATCCCAGCTTGATTATTGGCTTACGGTAAATATAAAACCTTGCTATTGTATTGCCACCTGGTAAAACTACATAATCTTACCAAACTTTGTGTTTATCTATATCAAACTATTTTTTAGACTAGCAAATGTGATATTCATGAGCAGATGGCCATTACATCAAAACACATTTCTCCAAGGGCCCAATTCACAGAAGTGGCTTACATGCACCTAAGTGATAAATGTACACTTTCATTGCAAAGCAGAAAACATACTTGTACTCCCTCCAGTTTTGTAAAAGAAGCTTAAAAAAATCACAATCATAATGGAATGTAGATCATTTATAAGCATGTCAAGGTAGAAAACATGGATTGTGAACAATTTTCTGTGATCGAATAAAAAAATGCCTCCTTGTCAGGTGAACTGTGCAGCAAGTGATGCTGAAATGTGGGCTATGTCCTTCCATGGTACAACACTGAAACAAAGGCAGAAGTAGAGGCACTTCTGCTCCTATGTGATATGAAGAGAATACATATTATCATGTTAACAAAGCTGAACTCTTCTTGAATTGGGGGAAGCATAAGCACCAGTTGAGCTGCTTTTTGTACACAGTTGTTAACATATTCTGAAACTTCTTTTCTGAAAAATAAAAAGAATCTTTTCTCATTGTAATATGAACACTCTTTGAAATATATTTGGGTGGTTTTTTTTTTAAAAAAAGTAACAGGCCAGTACTGCATTCTGTATTCACCTTTGCAATTCAGTCTTAATGCAGCCCCTAACTACTTGTCTGATCTTTTAAGATAAAGTAGAAAAGTAGTGCATCTAGTACTGGGGTAGTGCTGAACCTTAAGATGCCCACTGCATCTTTCATCAGTCCTCTAAGTGTCAATTTTTTTCAGAAGAGAATCTGATCTTTTGGTTTTTAAAAAAGTGTTAAGCAGGACCCAATTCCTTACAGATGCGTCAGCCTCGGGTGTCTTCTAATATGTTTAAAAGGACTGGTGAGTACCAAGCTCAACAGAAGTCACTACAGAAATCATCCTGGAGCCCAAGGCCAGTAAGATGCCAGAAAAGCCTCATAAAACCAGAAAAAAATATTCCTAAAAATGCATTTAGTCCATAAAATGAGGAATAAAATATAGGAACAGTAAAAGAACTAAGAAGTCAGTCAACTTCCCAGTGTTGCAGTAATGCTGCTGTTGAAACGCTCGGCAGGTACTTGAGCACGGTAGTACTGCTGCAGTTCTGAACTCTAGGTATGGTATGCAAGCAGAATTCACTCCCATAGCTACAGTCTAAGATCTCTTAGCTCTCTCATTAAATACACCTGTTTTCAGTCATTTCTAACAGCAAAAGACAATACATTTTTAAGTTTCAGAAAAGTAAAGAACAGTTATAGAAGAATATGGTTTCTGATTCTGAAATTACTTCTAAATTAAAAAAACAAAAAACTCTGAGGCCTAAAATGCATAAAAATGGACAGTTACCATCTGGCATTTTTATTTAAAAAAAAAAATCCAAAACTTAGTAATGATCAGCAGACAGTCACCAAGTGGAAGCTGAAAACTGAGGGGGCCCGCATTCTGAGCTTTTATGAACAGCTATCTTCTTACTAACCTCAGTGGAACTATGCCAATTTTCTCTAATTTTCACATCCCAATATTTTTAATAAATAGATGTAAGAAACTGCTGTAAGATGATGAATGTTGCTATAGTTGATACAGCATTTGAAAGAATCCAGGTGAATTATCTGCTTACAACTCTTTACTTAATTCTAAATTGCATAAATATATATTTTTATAATTGCTATATATAACCATCTAAATATCTGCTTAAGTAGAAACTCTAGTTGAGCCACTGCCATATCTTTTATTTTCCTTTATTTATTTATGACGGCGTATTTTCTCTATTCTGGTACTTTTGCACTTTACCATAAAAAAAAAAGGAGCTAAACCACACAAGAAACATTAAAACTACATGAAAGGTCTGTGTTAAACTGTCAAAGCAAAGAAACTGAGCATTAGGGTGAAATATCCATCTTTCACTTACGTTCCTAGTCTTAGGTTCTGCTGAGACTACTACACGATTGAGTTCACTCCCTTACCAATATATACTGCAATATAAGAGCTGAGAATGTACGACTGGCTAGGACTCTGATTTTCTATGATTTCAGAATTTAAGCCAGATTCTAAAAAAAAAAAAAAAAAATTTAAATGATGGCCAAACCCATGTCTGTAGAGTTGTTATCTGAAATAACACAAAGAAGTAATGCTTCTTAACCAAAAAGAGAGTAATTTATCTGAAATGTTTAATTTCTACCACTGCAATGAAAAAGATTTTATTTAACTCCTTTAGCTACCATAGGATACACACAATACCTTTTCATTCAAGACCACTAATGTTTATAAGATGAATAGCAGCACACTCAACATATGGTATTTTGCAAGGTCAGTGCAATTCTCTAACTGAAAAGGTTTCTGTTAGAGATAATTCAGAAGCATACAAAATCAAGAATGTTAGTTTCTAAAAACATGTATGTTTTACTAAAATTCTCACAGAAATTTGACAAATAAGTAAACAGAATTTTAAACATAGCAAAAATGTTCCTATTATAATTACTTGCAGAGACAAGTAATTTTATTATACGTCAAACAAAAGTGTGAGATGTTCAGATTCTCCCCCTAAATTATAATAGGTAGCTCAACAGACAGACAGCGTATCTTTCTGTGACCGAGAAACTCTCAGCAATCTTCTCCAGATATTCCGGCATCTGCAAAGACTCTGCTGGTTTACATGTGTCCTGAAACCACACAGAAATACCAAGAGCAGATGTAAGCAGTGATCCCCCTCAACAAAAACTATATCTAAAACAGAAGAAATTACAGAACATAATGTCAGCTTGTCTTTTCCTTCTCATTTGTGCATGCACAGACTCGGGCAAACGCACGGTGGAAAAAAGGGAAAAAGCTTCAAATTCCAGACAACTAAAAATTAGGGGGAGCAGTTTGTATTTCTTTTCTCCTTATTAAGTCTTGCTAATATTTTTTGCCTATAAAATGTGCCTTCTGGATGCCAACGCTTCCCCATAGATATACTGTCATCTTTGAGCAGTGTTAAAAGCTGTGCATTCTAATCTAAGTGGACATGAGACGCTATATATTGTACATGTGAGTAGCACAGCACATTGTGTTTGCTTCAGTGAGAATATTTACACTATAAATACACATCCATTGTTTGAAAAAGCAGATAGATATCTGAAATGTAAGGATGTGGTTAAAAATATAAATATTCTCACATAAAACCTTTCTATAACCTCAGACCGGTGCTTTTGAAGGAATCTGTCTCTACGGAGGTATTCTTTTCCATTCAAAAAGGTATTCAGCACTGAATACATTATTTTGAAAAGGACAAAAAGCAATGATTGTACTTGTTTTTAACAGCCTACAAAATTAAATGCAGTAAACTCTTCAAGACCCAATTTTAAATCCTCCAAATAAATAAATTTATTCAGAAGAAACACCTAAGTATTGAAGGCCACGATTCAGTAAAGCAATTGAATACCGAGGTAGTTTTCACTGAAATACGTATTTCACAGTTTCAACAAATAGGCACGGGTTTAAATCTAAAATTCTTCACTAAATCAGGGCCTACTCTGGGACTAAACAATAGTGGCGCGATGTGAATGTTCACTTTCTTCAACAGATGTATTTCCACAGCTTCTAATATTTACCCAGCCAACAGGAGACAGCAGCTGCAGAAGTTTTCACAGTCCACACTGTCACCTGGCACAAACCACACTCTAGGCTGGGAGTGACTTCCACTGCACACAAGAACACATTTCACATCTTGGGCAAAAAAGTACAGATAGAAAAGACAATCTATAGCACATATCTCCCTCATTACAGAAAAACGAGAGGGAGAGGAGAAAAAAAAAAAAACATTTACAGATATGTTTCCAGAATACAGAGTCATGAGAGTTTTACAAAAGAATCCAAAATCTCACATTGTGAGAGGTTAACATGCCTGCTGGAAGATTTGCAAATTTTCTATATTAGTATATAAAAATATTCATACAAAATTCTGGCACAGATGCTACAAATCTGTGTGTGTGTCTGTATTACAATATCACTACAGTGGAAAAATATGGCTTAGTTATGACAATGGCTGAGGAGCAGCACAGGCTATCAGGCAACGAAACAACCTTACTACAGTGGTTTGTGTCTTTCCTTTCTAATTGCAGCAAAACGGGGGGCAAAATACTAGAAGTGCCTACCCTCTAATCCCCCTCTGCCATGGGTCTGAAAAGTAGATAAGGTACTGTAACAAGAACAACCTGCGTGCTTCTAGCAGGTTGAATGATAACCCTTAAAGGCATCCCATTAAAAACCAACAAAAAGATTCTTCACCTCCTTCTCCTCTCTCCCCTATCCCTTTAAAATGAGTGCTGCAAATTATTAGCCAACGCTGGCAATTGGAGAACGAAGCAGCTTGCATGCGGGTATATTTTCACAGTGATTCTAATCTGAGAAATTTACTTGCTCTTCCCCTTCTATCTGATAAACTATACATTCAAGCATTCTCATTAGTGTTCGGATCACCAAAGAGAGCTAGAGATGAATCAGTCCATCCACCCCTCCTCTCCCTGCTCTGTCGAGATTA